AAGCGATGGAAAAGGACGCGGAAGTTAAAGTCCAGTTTCTCCGCGTTGATGGAGGGCTAACTAAAAATCATCTGCTAATGAAGATGCAGTCAGACCTGCTGGGAATCAATCTTCATCGGCCGACTATGGCTGAAACTACCGCACTCGGTGCCGCGCTATGCGCTGGCCTGGCGGCAGGCGTCTGGAAGTCGCTGGAAGAAGTAAAGACAATATCGCAACAAGCGAATGTTTGGCGTGTGATCAGACCTGCTGCGTCCAAGGATTCTCAACAGATGCTAAGGGCGCAGTGGAAACGAGCAAAGCAACAGGCGAAGTGGGCCAAGCTGTAACCGAGCTATTCACTAACGTGGGATTTGCATTTAAATCTTTCCTGACGATGTTATTGAGTTGTTGTTGTTGTTGTTTTTGTCTTTGTACTTTTTAAAAAGCTTATGCCAAGAAAAGGGTTTAACAGGATTTTGTGGGAAATTTGTGATGCGGTTTTTTTGTTATATATATATATATCAGAGAGAGCCTGAAACATCAAAAACACAGCCATGCATATTTATGCACGGCTGTCATTATGGAGAGTGACGTCTTTTTGTAAAATTGTTCTATGGGTAGTTTTCCTTTCTTTGTATTTAATACGCTCTTTGAAAACGGTTTATTTACGAATATGACTTAGGATGCATGGTCACTGCCCATTTTTTTTTTTTTTTGTGTGTGTGTGTTTTGAATAGATCAACCAAAAGCGATCTTTTCTGCGCGTGCGGTTCACGTGTATACTTTCTTAGAAAAAGCCCTATTTTTTCGCTGCGCTTGTTTTTCAGTGTCTTTTTATTTATTTATTTTCTTTTTTTTTTTGTGTGTGTGTGGTTTTGAGGAAATTTCAAACGCACTGCCTTTGGCACTTCTGTCGTCTTTAACATTTCTCTTGCGCAGCGAGCAGCAGAAGGGGCGGTGGTGGGGAACAATTTTGGAGGAAAGAGACTTATTGGGCCTATAGCGAAGGGGACATGACGGGTGAAAGGAAGGCGAAGCAACGGAGGTTGGAGAAGTCTGCAGCTGATGGCCTTCGTGAGCAGATGCGCTCCTCCTGGCCACGCGTTTTAACGGTCGAAGATGACGGAACGGGGGAGAACCATGTCAAGCTTTGTGTTGAGCATGACGCGCCGCACGACCACTGTGCTCTGGAATGCTGGAATTTGCAAGGCCTAATCGGCGAAAATGGACGTTTTGGGTTGTTTGTCTCTTTCTTCCGTCATGCAGTGACGGGTGAAGAGGAGCTCTCGGACGGGGAGGGCTCCGTTACATATGCCGCAGAGGTTTCTTGGATAATTGTGGATCATGAGAAGAAGAAATATTATCGCTTTAGCGAGCTGGACCATCGGGCCCCAATAATGGCGGCGTATCTTGCGGCCGACGGGGGAATTACGGGGGATGAGTACTTTCTTCAGGCTCTTTCGGAGCAGTTTAGCCAAAACCGGCTGCCGTTGCCAGATCGAGTGATGAAAGGAACAACATCGGTGCATACGGATATGCTTGACCTGCAGTACGGGGATAATCGACTGACAGTGATCCCAAAAAAAACGGGGAAGAAAAACACCTCCTTCTCGTGGTACAAAATTTCTCTCAGTGGCACAACCTTTGAAACAGGGGATGCGGATCCGCAAAGGGAGGTGCGAGTGGTTGTCGAACTCACACTGAAACCGACGCAACCGGCAGTGTTGCATGGAAATAAGGGTGTGGTGGGGCTCAAGGATGACTGGGGTCATGATATGTTTCACTATTTGATTCCCCACTGCATGGTAGTGGAGGGCACCTTTCGTATGATGCGCGCCTCTGATGACTTGGAAATTGCTCGCTGTCCCGATCTAAAGGGCGCCAAACTTTGGATGTCGCACTCTTTTGGCTGCGCCGTGCCCCGAAATATTGACGAGTCCAATTATTTGCGGAAACAACGCCAACAGTGTGGGTATTTGCCTCATTTCTGGAACTGTTGCGTCATTCATTTAGACAATGAAACGGCGGATGCCATCGGCGTTGTTTACGCGTTGGATCCTGCGCATTGGAAGCCTGTAGATATCTACGTGACGCTGCAGTCTGGCACTACAGGGACGATTGAGCATCAACACGAAGGTGTCGAACTTGTCGCGAAGAGTACTTCACAACACCGAAGCGATGCAACGGGTATTCTCTTCACCACGCAGTGGACGTTGATTACACCATTCCGTGACGATGCTAAACTGGAGGTGTTACTCGATGCCACTTTTCCCGATCAGGAATTTACAACCCTTTTTGCCCAGCCAAGCGTTTGGTTGGGCGCAGTGCAGGTGTCAGGAAAGATAGTTGCCTCGGATGGCACCTCGACTGGTGTTACAGGCAAGGGCTTCTTGCAATGTTGTGGAAAGGACGGCTTGAACAACGTCAAGAAAATGCATGACATGTTGCGGGAAGTGAGTACAGCCAGAATGGAGGACTTGGAAGTGGGAGTAAGGGAGTCTTTAAATGAAATGGCAAGCAGTTTTGCGGCGTCTGCCACAAGCAACGTCAAGACATTAATGAGTCTTCAAGGGCAAACGTTGTCTGACGCCCATCTTGTGTTGTTCACCAGTTTTCTTGGCGTGTATGGCTATATTTTTCACCATCCTACGGGGAAGAAAGAGGCTCTTGAAGCAATTCAATGGTTTCATGGGAAGTGGCTTGGTTATTTTGGAAACGCCTACATTGATGTCAAGACTCTGATGTTGCGGTCTTTTATGTTGCGAGAGCTCTCGTATGTGTTGAAAAGCCGTTGTGCCTCGTGGATTCCGACGCATATGCAAGTTATTGATCTTGTGGTAGCCCCAACAAGCAACATAAATGCAGTGATGGGGACAGACAACTGTAGTGAAGAAGAGGTTGTCCCCTCCTTGCCGCATTTTGGTACGAGCCCCAGCAAGTTGGATCTTTCACAACTTGGAGCTAATTTTAGTGGGAAATGGACGTTGGACTCAACGAGAGGCACAGATAACATCAGTGCCTTTTTATCAGCGCAAGGCGTTCACGTCTTGTGGCGCAACTTTATTGCCAATACGTCATTGAACTTGATTGTTACTGTTGATGAGGAGAAACAAACGATGCGATTTAATCATCGGAGATCGTTTTGGGGGAGGGAATTTGTCATTCAGTTGGATGGATCATACGGGGAGCAGCGCTGTGCGTCTCGAGGAACGATCCGCTCGCGGGCTTGCGTTTTTCCCGGCGGCACAGGGGTCTGCATTGAGAAGAAATTATCGAATCAAATGATCGAGCGCGATTGGTACACGTTTGAGGACGGTGGGGGGACGATGGTGGAGGTGATGCGACTTTACTCGGACAAGGCAGCAGAGAACAAAAAGGATAGTCCTTCTGTTTTACCGATTTCGGTTTGTGTCCGGTACTTTACTTTGTGCCTTGAGAAGTCCGTGAGCTGAATTGTCGCCTTTCCTTATTCCGTAGTGAGGGAGAGAACGGGTCGAACGTTCACTCCTTAGCGATAAGAAGAGGGGAACCAAAAACTTCTTTGATGTTGTTGTTGTTGTTTTGTGTGTGTGTGTGTGTTTTTTCCCGCTTTTTTGTTGTCGTTGTTGTTTTCTTTTCTTTTTTTTTTTTCTTTTTTTGGCTTTTTAAAATCCCATTGCATCTCTGTAAAGCTTGCAGCAAGTTATGCGAAAGCACACACGAAATCACGAATCTGACCATTACGCTCTCTATTCAAAGAATAAAAAGTTCTATAGAACCGACACATCAAAAGGTTTCAATTGCAACAAGAATACAGTTGATACAGCTTTCGTGAACGCAGAAACAGAAGCCGCAGAGATGTCCGTGGTAGAAGCCATCGCCGCACCCGCTGCCTCCGCCATTGACTCCAAATTTTTGGACAAGCAAAGCCGCACAATTGGCACCTATGGCCTGGAGACAATGGTGAAGCTTATTTCCTTCAAGGTGCTCATCGTCGGCTGCGGTGGGGTTGGAATTGAGGCGGCAAAGAACCTTTCCATGGCTGGCGTTCACACAATTATTCTTTGTGACCCTGCGAAAGCTCAACCAAAAGACATGGGCGTTAACTTTGCTGTCACGGAGGCGGCGGTGCGTTCTGGTCTTACCCGAGCCGAGGCGTCGCAGCGGCTGGTATCTGAATTGAACCCAAACGTTCGTGTGCGGGTCGTGGACGCCCTCAGCGAGGCGGTGGTCAGTCAAGTCAATGCCCTTGTCTTCACCTCTGCGGCCCCGGATTATTCCCTGGGGACTCTTAAGAGATGGAATAAATTTTGTCACGACCACTCGTCGCCCATTTCCTTTATTTTTGCCTTTCAGGGCGGCGCGCTCGGGTCCGTCTTTGCCGATCACGGTGCTCACTTCACCGTAAAGGATCCAGATGGTCGCCCCATGCTTCAGAAATCTATTGTGGAGGTAATTACAAAGCAGGACAAAACGGGCACGGCCTACACACGTATCCGCTATGAGACGCCAGAGGGTCAAACGCCTGGTGCGCTCCGTGACTACACAAGGTTTAAGTTCACGGAGGTGAGGGGACTGTGTAAGGCAAATGGAGAAAGTGTGAATGAGAACATCTTCAACGGCGTAATGTGCCCTAACGACCCCCGCGACACAGTGCGCATCTACCCTTCGCTCGAGAGCCAAGGCTACTCCGCATATGAAACAGGTGGATTCCTTCATGAATTGAAAGAAGTATTCCAACTTGAGTTTCGAACTTTGGAGGAGGCCGTTGTATGTCCTGGTCGTTTTGTTCCTGTGAGTCCCATGATGGATGGAACAGAGGAATCACAGTCCCATCTCGCTCTGCATGCTTTACTCAATTTTTTGGATAGGCACGGGAGGCCACCAAAGCTACATGATGTAAGTGAAGCAGAGGAGGCCTTGTCTATTGCAAAGGAAA